AGGGCTTCTTACATTATGTATACACCCAGAGAAATACATCACATGAGGCCTCAGTCACACAACATAAACTATTGCAGTGAGCGGTGTAGACACTTAAAAAGACATAACTCCATATTTTGTAGCCCATAGGAATGGAATTGACATTAATACCTCATTGCTCTTAGAAAAGCATGTAATCCCTCAGCAGCAGTTCACCATCTTTACTTTTAATATAAACAGAAGCATAACTGTAAAATCCTGCTCTGTAGCTTTATGTCTCTATCCGGCTGCTGTGTTACTGAATTTTTTATGGTGACCTTAAACAAACAGAAGTGTTTTTTTTCTTTGGTTAGATATATAAAATTAGATATAAATGTATGCAGTTGGATCTGTTAACTGCTTTGTACCTCACGTTTCAGCTCCATTACAGGACTTTTTGTATTTGTTAATTCGTTAAAATAACTATACTATATTTATAATGAAAGATCTCATTAGAGTCAACACAATGCTTTTTTTGTTGCCTGAACATCTGACTTAGCACCTATGTTTATTTAATTTGCCCTTGTAGCAGGGAATGTTTCTGTTTTCCTCCACAAATAAAACATCTACTTTTGGAGCAAATTAATTGGTGTAATTAACAAATTTATGTATGAAAATTCCATCCATAATAGCTGCAATTTTCTTACTATGTAATAGAGCACACAGTGAGCTTCCAAATAGTGGTATACTATAATGTAATTGTCCACAATATTGTAAACTTAGCATGTGGTCGAAAGAGGATAAAATAAAGACTCTTTCTGCTCTGTGAGGCTTTCCATCTTACTGGGTGTACACTGTCTAGATTCTAGACCATATGTAGTCAGAAGAGACTTTACTTGAATGTATAGTCTTGTGGTGGTTCTGTCTTGTCACTTTGTCAGTGCAATGGGTTTTTCTTTACTTTGCGGTTTTGTTGTCATTCCCAACTAAAATGAAAAAAAAAAAAGAAGTTTTAACGGAAAATTGTGTAACAGTGTTTTTCCATGCTTCTGTGTGGGCTCCTGCAGAGACAACAGCTGGTTTTGTGTAGGAAGCTCCAACGGTCTGTATGTGGTGGAGTTTGCTACCTCAGAACTCCTAACGGTGCTGTATTTCAAAGGTAGGCTGCTGGGGGGTTTCATTTCTCCAGTTTTTTTTTTTTTTTCCAGAAATATGGCAATGAATACTGGAGATTAAAAATATAAGAGAATTTTTGTAAAAAGGTTAAACACATTCAGTGCAATGGTTTTTAAACTACAGTGTATGCACCAGTGGTGTGTTTTTAGTAGCCATCAGAAAAAAAGGCACAGTTATTTCCAAGGTAAACATAAACAAATGAAACTGAGCAACAATACCGAAAAAGACACATTGTTCAGCGGCATTGCTCTTTTGCTCATTGGCACATCCTCGGAGGAATGCTGTAGCTATTTCTACTCAGCACAATATAGTGGGATTTCCAAATGAAAAGACTTAGTAGACTACTAGCAATACTGTTATATACTTGACAACATTTTTTAGTTTCAAGCACTTTAAGAACATATTTGACAAAAAATCTCATATAATAGTTTGTGTTTGACTACTTTAATGAATTACAAATCATCACAGTTGTCGATTTTGCCAGGCCTAATACAAAAGGAAACCCTTTCGGACTTTGAGATTGACGTTGATAATGAACCTCTGATTGACTATAACTTAATTAATGGGCAAGAAAACATGTTTTTTTCCCCCTGTTCATTGTTATTGCATGGCATAGCAAACTAACATACACAATATATGGTATCCCTGTTTTAAAATCTGAATCAGTACGGTGGTATTTGGAAAATCTTGTTTTGTTTGTTATAAAATCTATGAGAACTACTACTTTATAAAATCCATGAGAACTACTACAGCTTAATTACAACTACACATTCAGAACTGTCAGAAGTAGCCTATAGCAAGTTTAACCAAGTTATGGTTTGAAAATACATGAAATTTTGTTTTTTATAGACAACCCCACCCTAAACATGACCATGGCTGGATCATGGTCAATCTGTGTCGGAGCTGATAAATCTGTGAGTAATTTCAAAACAATGTTGGTAAACAATATAAAGTCTCTGTCATGGGTTACTTTTTAAATTTGATTGTTACTGAAAGATTTTTTTTTTACTACTCAGATGGTTGTTCTAGTGAGCTCTTTGTTTACTCCATGTGTGGTCTTGCTGGAGTTATGCTTGAGTAACCTACGCAGGACAAGAGAAGAAGGTGGTTCAGGGTTTTATGTCTTTCCAAGGTAAGCCAGGAGTTAAAAGTAAACATTTATCCTCCTACCTACCTACCTCCCTGATATTGAGGAGACAGTTAAATGTGTGTGAAATGTTAGTTCTACCATGTTTGGCATCACTACAATACATGCTCTAGGATTGTGGTAGTCTGACCTCAGCAACAGTACTCCATGAAGCAAGAATAAGCCACATTTATTGGTTCACCTTCTTTTTAAAGGTTCCTCTCACACTGACATTTCCATATGAACTTACCCAATTATATCTAACCATTGCAGTCATCTGGTTTTTTATGAGTCAGCAATATCACGGTACTGTAAATTAGAGCGACTAATAATCCATAACGATGGAAAAATGCTGTACTCCACTGTTTCCAGTAACTCCGTCCCCCTGCCTCCCCTCCTTCCTTGTTTCCAGTTCTCCTCCACTGCTGGAATCTCCTCTAAATGCAGAGTTAAAGAGGAAGGAACCCACCCATCCGAAAAAGAAAGGTTTGTTGTAGGTTTAATGTTTGAACAATAATTTCTCTTTCTTTTAGTTTTTTATTTTATTTTTAAGTTTCTCTGAAATAGTTTTCATACTTAGTTCTGATTGGCTAATCCAAGAATTTATGAAAACATGTCCATTATCTATACACATATACAATGGATGAATGTGGTTCTGCTTCATGTGTTAATGTGGCCTTCTTCATTGCATTCCCTTCAGTTCAGATCTAAGTTTCATTGTGCCATTCCTGTTTTTGTTGTATTTTTATGAATGTCATCTGACTGGAACACTGAAGCTATGTGTCTGCATGTGTTGAGGCTTATATGTTCTTCAGAGCAGAGAGTTTATCCTGAGAAAGCCAGTCCAAGCTGGATTCTCCACAGCTGGAGTGGAGGGATTTGCCAATGTAAGACTATGTAGGAGATTTTATGTATAATTGAGAAGTGCTGTGTGACTAAAACATCAGAGCACAAAAAAAAAAAAAAAACAGCCTACAAAAGTTTACAGGCTGCCATTCTTCCCCATGCATCTCCATATTCTTAAAGGTATTTGCAAAATTGCGGACAAATTACGCCATAAACCTCTGAGACTCCTGGAAGGGAAAAGATTTCTTCATCGTACACCTGGCACAGATCTGAAGGAGCTTTTTCAAAAGAGCTGTTAGTGCAGATTTAGGGGCTATATCTCATTTCATACTACAAAAAATATTTAACGATATAATCCTTAAGCAAACGTGCCGTTTTTCAGTGTTACCCCTTTAGTTCTATTAATAATGGTTATTGTTTTTTTCTCTAGATATGAAATAATGAAAGTCATAATCAAGTTACATCACAATCTGCTGTAATTTATTTTACTTGTAAATTTGTCTGAGACTCTCACAAGGCTTTAAATGGCTTCTAATGAGATGTCAGCCTAAAATTATGTGAATTTTATTGCCTTATAAAGCTAAATGGCCATTTTACATCAGTAGGGGGTCAGTGGAGTTGTTCAGCGCTTCCAAAGAGTTGCATTGCCAGGTAATCTTTAGTCTGAAAAGATAACTTTTTTTCCTCACAAGATCTGTTTTGGATCAAAAGCTTCTTTTTTGAAACACAACAGAGTAGAAAGAATTGGAACCTTGTAAGAAGAGCCTGGTTGAGGTGATCTTTGAGTGTTAAACTTTTGAGGCTCTTTGGTGATACCATTTAAATGGCTGATTGATAAAATGCAATTCATTTTATTCACAAAAATAGCATAAAAAGCTTTTTCAAATAAAAATTGATATAACTGAAGTAAAAATTAATCCGGATTATGCACAAACAATGGACAAAGGCATCAAAAACATTTTTTAGAAGCATGACATACCAAAAGAGACTAAATTGAAGTTTAAATTCCACATGTAAGATGAGTACCTGTTAATGTAATGCCCTGCATTCCTAATAAGGTGAATAATCTTCTTGAAAAAGGTGGATTATGTGCTGACATGATAGAAAATACTTGTCCATATTTGTTCTTACTGTTCTAAGTGTGATGGTTTCAATTTATTTGACTGTCTTTGTTTAGAAAACCTGTTTTGTTGCATGCATTTGCAAGAAGAAAGGTTTTTAGTAATCCTCACATATTTTAACAACTGTGGAAAAAGTGAGCTCATTTTAATATAATAAAGGCATTGACAAGGAACAATGAGGAGCATAAAATATCCCACAGGTTGTGGCTGTTCTCTTAATGCTTGGAGCACTGTGAGATCATCCAGTGCTTCTGACTCACCTCTTTCTTTTATAATCCAGGAAACCTGCTGCAGAATAACAAGTTAAGGAAGAAATGTTCCGCCTTTTTTTTCACAAATTCACCTAATCCTGTGGTCGTAACAAAATGGCTGCAAGCATTGTTCGTCAATATAGTACAGAACTGCAGAAATTTTCTTTTCGAACGTATCTTTAAAAAGTATTGAAGTTCAATTCATGTCTGTAGGTACAGCCTATCAGATATTGACATTCCATATTCTAACAAGTGAAAAAAAGTACTAGTTTATTTCTTTTTGAAAATTTTGTTCTTTGCCAAATATTAATACTGTATAAAATATTTTTAACAATAACAAAGTATTTACTGAATATGTATTTGAACCTTCCCAATTTCTTCTTTTTTGTTTTCCCTTTATACGTAATTGTCTCAGCACATAATTTTTTTTTTAATCAGATAATCCTACTTTAAATTTGATTTATTTAACAAAAAAATAAATAAATCATGGCTGCTTCAAGAAGAAGGAGCAAGAAGAGCAGAAAGAGAGCGAGTGTGTGAGAGACAAGTGTTCCAGGAAATTATGGATCTTAAACTCCATCAGTTTCTATCAGCACCTATTAGCTAGAACTCTGAAACACAGACAAATTAGGAGCAATGACTTCTGACTGTAACATACAAAAACCAAAATCTCATGGTGGTGCCTGCAGTCAATGCTTGGAAAGAATAGGTTCCGAAAATGTTTGTCTAGCCAATCTGTCACCCTTACCTGTTAAATATGATTATGTCTTTATTCAGTTTACATAACTTCATAGGTTTTCTGTGAAAACACATGTAAATATAAAATGTACAATAATTAGCCTTGTTTGTCAGTCTGTATCTCATCTGAGATGTTTTTTTTTGTTTTGTTTTTCAAAGGAGGAATAAAGGAAAAGCCGCTAGTTTTTCACTCAAAAGTGAAGTCATCTGGATACAACACCACCCCAAGGTATGATAAGGTATCTCTGTGCACTGGTTATTGCGTGACATATCGTTTATACACTGTTGATGGTCTAAGAAATTTGTTAAAAATTACAGCTGAAATATATTGTGATAAAACAAACAGAGTGTTATGATTAGGCCACTGAAAATAAAGTAAGACTAATTGAATAATTGAGTCGTTGCTTGATTGATTATATTTCTCTTTATTCCTCTATTTCAGAATGACTATGTTTTCAGCACAAACCAATGCTCAGAAGAAAACATCACCTAAAAAGTCAATAAAACATTTGTAAGAAATTTACTATACTATTTTTACTGTGCATATGTGTATGTGTCACATAAACTACAAAAACATGTTTTTGTCACTTAGGGGATCACTCCATAGCAACTACTCAGAGGACAGTGCAGCACCAAATGAACCACGTATCTCTCTTAACATTGCCAACAAACAAGTCTCATGCCTTCAGTATTCAGGTGAGTTACTGATGACAGCTAATTTTGACAAGACATTTACTTATGTCAAAAGACAAATCACATGAACATTTTGATGTGTTGATAATATTTTTTTTCTGGGGTCTGGTTTTTTATTTGAATATTTAGCTGTATTTTTCAGGTATTCTCATTTATTTTACCTGTGTTGCCATAAAAGGAAAGATTGTTGTATTGTATTTTCTATAACTAAATAAAGTCTAGTGACCTACTCCAGAATCCAACAATTGGGATTATCTTATGCTCACTTTCTTTATTAAAATTTCAAACTATCTTTTCATTATCTAACACTTGCTTCACAAAGATTTTTTTAAATGAGAATTCACTTAAAATCAAAGCTTCTTTGATGGTTCCTGGGAAGTAATGGAGCAGGTATGAAGTGGTTAAAATTTGACCAATTTAGTCTACCTTTCCATGACAATACCTGTAAAACTATTAATAATACAAACATGACTTAAAATTTAAACCCTATGTTTATCTGGATTAAAGTAGATTCTACATCTGAAGAAGTAAACTATGCTGTTCTTTGTTCATTCTCCACTGAAAGAGTGCAAACACACGAGCTAATCATTTATGAAATATAGCATTTCATAAAGCTCCACTATGACAACAACAACAACAAAGCTATGATTTAAAAAATTCGATTTTTTCCCAGACAGAACTCTTAGTTTGAAAATAAATGATCCATAAATGCCTATAAAATAAACCTGTGGTTCATTGTATTTCTCAGGTGATGGAAAAAAAATCCTGTGTGGTCTTGGCGACCGCTCGGTATTATTGTACAACTCCTGCCTTACAGGTAGTCCAACTGCCTTCATAGGTGAGACATGATCCAAGAATGGTTATTTTCTGCTTTGCTGTTTTTAACCTTCACACTCACTGTAATGTTTTCTTTCTGGAAGTGAATTTGTGTGCCATTTCTAACTGCTACATTTGATAACAGCAATAGATTAAATTATTTTGAAATAAAGTTATTGCTGTTTTCTATTAAGCGATTAGCACTTTAGATAGTTATTGATTAAATGAAAAGTATCTTATCATTAACCAATGCAAAAAGACCTACTTTATCCTTAAATAAAAAAGTATGCTTCCTTGTTGAACAAATATAGTTCTGAAGATGTTACATGTAATTAGAATGTGTTGCATTACTTCACATTTAGTGCTTTTGCAACTAAGTTATGACTGACAGTAAGACAGAATATTCGCCATCTGACTTATTTAGTACACTATAGCTCCAATTTTGAAGGAAAATGTCCACAAGAAGGCAGCAGAGATAAAGGACAGAAGTTGAGGTGACATGTAGGTCAGCATGAACCTTCTCTCTTCAGCCCGTCTCTCTGCCTGAACAGTTCCAAAAAAGTAAATGTGACTGTACACTGATTTACCAGGTTAATTTGAGACTTGGGTCTTTGAATGTAGGTCATGACAAGCCAGTTACCAGTGTGAGCTGGAGCCTCTGCAGGCAATGGTGGCTGAGTGCAGCAGAAGATCTATCATTACGGATCTGGACCAAATCCAGCTCAGAGCCTGCTATTATCTTGGTAACAAACAAACAAAAAACAGACAAACAAAG